TCTATTAGTCAAATCAAGTCATACGGCCATCGAAATTCAGATAAAAAGCAAACTAGTCCTTCATCGAAATTCAGATAAAAAGCAAACTAGTCCTTCATTGGAGTTGCTGCAAAGCCATTGTAAAAAGCCATGGATGTTAGAAAATAATATTTGTGGATACTATGATACTATTTCAAACAACTTACCACATCTGGTATTGCATTACACTTAATCTTCACAGAAATGCACATGAAAAGTACTACTATTATTTTTCTTAATTCACGGTTATGGGAATTTTGCCTCATGGATGTTAAACCGCTTGTCCAAGATTATATCACTTTTAAAATGATATTATTAAGACACAAATCAATTTTTGTGCAACTCTAAAACACATGCTACTGAAGATTACACCACGCTAATTGGTTCTTTCCCTGTTCTGGAGTTCAATGACTTGCAAGGAAAATCTTATTTCACAGCCATATCATGGCATTTGGCTTCTATTCTCTATCCCTGTGCTGAAAGTGTCTTCAAAGGAAACTAAATGCTAAGAGAAAGTAATTTACTTATTTGCAAATATTATGATTGTCTACATAGAAAACCCATGAGAATGATAGAAATGATGACAAGTAAGAGAGTTTGGAATGTAGCAAGTCACAGAATTAATAAATATATAAACATGAATGGTTTTCCTTGATATCAGTCATGACTGGTTAAAATGTAAATAATTAAATAAAGCACATGGATAATAGCAAAAATGATGACAGAAATACAAGTTTTCATGTTTTATCCTGGTCTTCAATCTCAAAAATACAAACTCTTCTATGTGGAGATTTCATGCACACTGCAGACTTAATATTGCAAATTGAACTCATCATTATCATGTCCCTCTATCCTACTTCACCTTATGGATTCCCTTGCTCAACTCATGACATTCCCATGTCCTTATACCCATGTTGAAAGTCTGAAGTTATTGGCTTCATTACTTGAATATCTCCTCTCCTTACACTTCAAATCTATATTTTTGCTAACTTTTCCTCTAAATGTCTTCATAGACTTCAGTTATAATTTTCATAAAATAAAATGCATGTATTTTAATGTATGTTTGTTGAGTTTTGATAAATGTATCCACCTATAGAAACACCACTTTAATCAAGCTATAAAATATTTTCAAAATCCCAAAAAATGTACACATAACTTCTTAGAGTCAGAGTCATCCTCCCAAGGCAACCATTGAACTGAGTTTTATCACCACAATTTAGATTTACCTTTTCTATAACATTAATAAACAGAACCATACTGTGCGTATTCTTTTGTATGTGATTTATTTTGTTCAACACAATATTTTTCAGATTCATTCAGGTTGTGTGTAACATTAATTCATTAATTTTTTATTGCTGGATACACTAAGCCAAATATTTCTTAGGTAATTTTGTCTTCACCAATGCTTAGGTTACAAATCTCTTTCTAATTTGTGTCTTTCCTATTAATGGCATGATTTACTTTCATTACAACTTTTTCGGAAGTCTCTTTCATATTGTTTCAGAGCACTATTATAAAAAAGCCCCCAATCTAACTATGCAACTCCTCTACAAAATATCCATCAATGGATTCTCTCAAATGATAGATTAAAAGAATAAGCCCCTTACCATAGCATCCAGGATCATTCAAGATCTGTTCTTTTCCTCCTTTGCCTGCCTTATTTCATTATGATTCAGAACTTCCTAAGTACATTTACATTTCATCATATTTTATTTTAGCTCTCCTTTGTTTTGCTCTACATTATTTGCTTTTCAAGCCTAAAAGAGTTTTCTTTGCTTCTCTGTTTAGGTGAGAGTTTCTTCACAATTTGAATAGGAAAGTATAAGGCAGAGAAGACAAGGTAATTTAGGACAAAAAGAATAGTGTTCAAAATGTTGATGCATATTTTAAAAAGCATGATGAGATGGTGTGCATGGATGAGTAGAAATCATGAAAGTATTTCTGATATTGTTTCAGCTAGATCTCTCAGGGGGTTTTGCAGGAGCTGACATTGAAAGTTTAGGCTGAGTTGACATCAAATGTTCTGCAAATTAATTCATTGGCCATTATCTAGCAAAAGTGATGGAAAATGATTGAAATGTTCTGAATGTTATATTAGTTATCTATTGCTGCTGCAACTAAGTACCACAAATTTAGTGGTTTAAAACAACACAAATTTATTATTTCACAGTTTTACAGGCCAAAAAGTCCAATTCGACTCAATTAATTCATATGACCCAAGAGTTACAAGGCTAAAGTCAAAGTATTTATTGGCTGGGCACGTCTCTGGAGGCTTTGGGCTTCTATTCTCTATCATTGTGCTGAAAGTGTCTTCAATATGAGAAAGAATGGGGATACCAATAAGAAACTAAATGCTAAGAGAAAGTAATTTACTTACTTGCAGATACTATGATTACACAGAAAACCCATGAGAATGACAGAAATGATGGCAACCTAACAGAGTTTGCTAATGTAGCAAATCACAGAATTAATAAATATATAAACACAAATGGTTTTCCTGGATATCAATCATGACTAGTTAAAATGTAAATAAATAAAGCACATGGATAATAGCAAACATGTGCAAACTCTGTTAGGTTGTCATCATTTCTATCATTCTTATGGGTTTTCTATGTAGACAATCATAGCATCTGCAAATAAGTAAATTACTTTCTCTTAGCATTTAGTTTCTTATTGGTATCCCCATTCTTTCTCATATTGAAGACACTTTGAGCACAATGATAGAAAAATAGAAGCCAAATGCCTCTTTCTCATATTGAAGACACTTTGAGCACAATGATAGCGAATAGCTTTCCAGTTCATTCAGCTTGTTAAAAGAATCCAGTTTCTTATACCTGTAGAACTGAGGTCCCTATTCTTTAATGGCTGTCAGCTAGGGCTGGCCTCTAGCTCCTAGAGGTTTCTTTCTCTTCCTCATATATGGCCCTCTCACTTAGAACAAGCAATGGCTCATCAAATCCTTCTCATACTTGGCATCTCTCTGACTTCACTTTTTGCTGCTTATCTTCTACCACGTCTCTTCTGCTCACATCTAGACAAACTTTTTTTGTTTGCTTTTAATGACCTGTCTAATTACACTGGGCCCATCCAGAAAATCCAGGATAATCCCCCCTTTTACAGTCCATAACCTTAATTATATCTGCACGGTCTCTTTTGACATGTAACATAACATATTCACTAGTTCCTGGAGATTAGTATGTGGATGTCTTTGGGAGATGAAATTTGATAAGGTCAGATTTAGGTTGTAAAAGATGCTTATAGATGACTTACATCTCCACAAAAATTCATGCATTGAAACTTATTTATAAGCGGGGTAATTGAGAGGTTATTAGTCCTTTATAATAAGCACCTTCCACCTTCCTCAGTGAGCTCCGTTGTTACTTCTACCACGTGAAAACACAGCAAAAAGGCAACCTTCTAAAAACCAAGAAGTGGGTCCTCACCACACAGCAAATCTGCTGGAGCCTTTATCTAGAACATGCCAGCCTCCAGAAGTGGGAGAAATAAATTTCTATTGTTTATAAATTACCCCGTCTATGGTATTTTGTTATAGCAGCCTAAATGGACTAAGAGAGAAGGTTTATTCTGGTAACTGGGTGGAAGTTATATGTGGACATAGCAGATGCCTCTGTTGCCTGCATTATATTCCTTCAATCCACTTGTGATTTCAGTCACATCTTGTGAGATCACATTCACCAAATTTTCCCACTGTCTTACCTCAATTGCAAGCTGTAAAATTTATAATTTGCTCAAGGAACTTTTTATTGCTGTAGTTTATCCATAAGCATAGCCCAGAAGTCCTAGTGGGGAGGTAGAATAGGGGTGTTTTAAGGCTCCCAGGTTTAGATCCTCATCTGTGAAGGATGAAAGTTGATTGATAAATGCACCCCTCCCATTTTGCATGCGATGAGTCTTCACATTTGTCAACACTCCCAGTGGATTTGAGCCTGGTTCCCACACCAGCAACTCCTTCCCTAAACACTGCTGCCTGCGATCACTTCCCAAATAGATTGCCTGTGAGTGCCCATCTCCTTGTCTCAAGTTTTGTATTTGAGATAATTTTAACCAAGACAAAAAGCAAGCTGTCATATTTATAGGGAGGCCACTATCATATTTTATTATGAGGGTCTGAAAGTGTTAACCAAGGCAGTGGCAAAGAGCTAAATGAAAGAAGATAGTTTTAAGACATGTAACTGATTATATTTAGAAACATATTGACTACGGAATGGAGAGAGAGAGAGGATATTTGAGAAGGTTAACTTGCAAGGAAGGCAGGGGAAGAAAAGTGAGGTAGTATTATATCTATCTGTTCCCAATATGGACTTTAAACTAATCTGAACCAATGATAAACCTGGACACTATCCAGATTTAAGCATCAAATATGCAGTAAGTACTTAATTACTCCAAAGTACTTCATTAGTAGATTAATTAACTAATTCTAATGTTACAGAGTATGGAAATCTTAAACTCTTATATAGTGCTTACTATAAGCCAGGTACTGTTCTAATCACTGTATGATGTAAAACAATTTTATCCTCTTAATATCCTTATGGGTAGATACTATTAAATGACCCCTATTTTAAATATAAGAAAACTGAGATACAGAAAGATTTAATAACTTTCCCAAGTTTACACAGTTCTAAGTAGTAGTGCTGGGGTTTGAACCCAGGGCCATCATGCTCTTGAGTTGGAGATTTTAGTTCTACACGATTCTGTATCTCTTAGTATTAATAATACTAGTATGTTTTCTAGTAATACTAACATAAGTATGTGTGGTCATGGGAGATTGAAAACACGGACACAATAATTTACAGTCCTTCTATCAAAAGGTGGAGGCTATTTCCCCAAATCTTGAATTCAGGCTGGCCCTGTGATTTGTTTGACCAATAGGTGTAGGCAAACTAAACATTATGTGAGTTCTACAGAATAGCCCCAAGAGTCCTTGTTGTTTATGCTTTTTCTCTCTTTTAAGGAAGCTAAGTCACACTGCTAACTGATGAGAGACCAACTTGAAAGAGGGAGGATCTGCCAATAGCCAACGCCACGACTCCAGATATATGGGAGTCAGGTCATCATAAACCATCCATCTTTCTGCCAAGTCACAGTAGACTGCAACTCCATGAATGAGACAAGGAGGTATCGGTAAAAACAAAACAAAACAAAACAAAACAAAAAACAATAACTGCCTGGTGTAACCACAGAATCTTAAGATATAATAAATCATTTTAATACAATGTGTTGAGTCGGTTTGTTATACAATGGTAGATAACTGACTATGATTAACAGAGAGGCTACTTACAATAAGAAATAAAGCTAGCTGTTGTGGGAAATAACAAGGTAGTAAAAATATGTTGCTAAAATTAAGAGGTAGCAGTAAGACTTCACCTTGAGGAAGACAATGATGGAATAATTAAAAACTATAAAAACAAATCTAGAATATTTTAAAAGATTCCTTCAGATAAGATCTTAGAATGGAGAAATAGTAACCAATGAAGAAACGTTTGCTCCTAAACTACATGTTTTCCTTGTCTGTGAAACTATTGCAAATTCACATTATAAATAGTGTGTTTTTATGAACACAGTTATTTTAAAGATATAAAAAGAACTGAAAGGAAGATGAGCTTTGAAGTCAGATAAGACAATATTGTAATACTTACGTTACAATTATCTGGCTGGTTTTGAAAAAGTTACTGGAGGTCTTTTTACCTCGTTTCTGGTCTGTTAAATGGGAATATTGCCATCTGATTTATAGACTTGTTTGTTCGTTAAGTACACTGACATAAGTAGACAGTTATTTTAGTGTCTAGTTTAAAAACTGGTGTGCAAAAATTGTACTTTACTTCACCCTTAACTTGTTGTAGGAGAACTTAAAGAAATATCCATAGTTCATTATATCACAACGAATATAGTGCCACTTTCTCAATTATATTTCTAATGAATTAGAATTTTCCATTGCAACTTTTACACTGAGGTACGCCTAAAACAGTGTGGCTTTCATTTTAGCTAACCCAATTGTTAATAAATTAAAATATTTATCATTATAAAATAATAAACAAAATAATATATAATATTAATTAAAAATATATATTATTACCCTTTAAAAAAAATTTCTTATGTCTTCCAGGCTATAGGGCAAAAACTGGGGTCCACAGAATACTTGCTCAATCAACTTTGCTCATCCAAAATCACAAAAATCGCCTCAAAAAATGTTGATGATAATTTAATTTTCTTCACTCTCCATGAAGATGTTAGATAATGCTCACTCTGGGCAAGGAAAAAAGACAGACTCATCAATTGTGTTACTGATGATATTCTTGCAAAAGAATTTTCTTTTAATTGAAAAAGTTGAATATGAGCCAGGCATGGTGGTTCACGCCTGTAATCCCAATAGTTTAGGAGGCTGAGGTGGGCGGATCACTAGAGGTTGGGACTTTGAGAGCAGCCCGGACAACAGAGCGAACCCTGTCTCTACTAAAATTACAAAAAGTTACTGAGAATGTTGCTGGGTGCCTGTAATCCTACCTACTTAGGAGGCTGAGACATGAGAATCGCTTGAACCCCGGAAGCGGAGGCTGCAGTCGGCATGGGCAATAGAACCAGACCGTGTCTTAAAAAAAAAAAAGGAAAAGCTGAATATGACACTGTAGGTGCTACTATTTAATTCTGACTGTCTACATTCCTGTACAGCTAGAATGACTATAACTGACAAAATAGTATTAAGATGGTATTTATCCATTCCGTATGACCCTATTGTTTGTAATTACAGAGGTCATTGAAGCCACGTACATGAACATCAATAGCAGCACTCCTTCCCAAGACTTACTCCACCTCCCACATTTTCTTTAATTATCAATAATGCTCTGCTTCTACTATAGGTATATACATAAAGATAAACCTATAAACTCTAAGAGTCATTTGAAAAAAGGCTATCATCAGAAGAAGCAATGTTGAAAATAATTTCTATTATATGTATTATTTTATTCATATTCCAAACAGTTGAAAAAAATCACAAGTAATTAAATTTGATAATTTAGTATGCAGAAAAGTTCTATCACGTGAAAATGGTATGTTTCTGCCACTGGCAAATGGTATTACATAACTCCATGCTTTATTTTAGCTTTGGAAAACATAAAAGTAAATGCAACATATATTTACTCATCTTGATGGCTCCTGGAATATTTATTTTTGTGCCTCCTCCAAAGGATTTTTGTAATTTGAGTTACTTGTTTAGTTGTGTATAAATCTTTTATAAAATTCCTTAGAAGTAAGCAAATAAAATCACTGATAACTAGGAAAAAAAGCACAAATGAATCCCTCCATGCAGCACCACATCTTCTATGCCCCTGAAAAACAAGAAAAGATAAAGTAAACAAAATCCACATGAGCCTCTTGCAGTAGTAAAAGTAATAGATCCGGAGTCAGGGAATCAACTTTGCTAAGCTGGTGTAAGACAGATTACTTGTATGACTTGGGACAGCATCTCTCTAAGACAAGATAATTGGGCACAGTATTTCTTAAGATTCTTTGTGCCTCTTTTGGTTTAAAAAATTATAAAAATATTTCTAATAAAAATACAAAGAATCTGTATTGTTACCTTTATCATCAGTTCAAACTAATTTATATGCTACATTGAAATTTTAAAGATATTTAATCTGGAAAGGAATAGACAAAGCTATTTAAAAACTTTCTAAATAGAGGTAGTTTTACTTTAGGAAGTAGAAATAATGTCTTTTATGTTTTTGTTTGTTTTTAATCAAAATTATTTTTAGACTGCTATATGTAAGCATAGTTTATTCCTTGTTTTGACCAAGTGACATTTTAGGTATATTTAAGAAATTATGAGCAATTAGAACTTAATTAAAATGCTGTGAATTGAAGGGTTTAGAAAGGTGATGTGACTTCTGGTTTTTTATTCTGCATATAAGGAGTTTGGACGTTGCCACAAAAACAAGTAAAAAGCTTTAACAAGTGTAAAAGTAAACTGAAAAATCAATTCTTAGATCTGTAAGAGAAGTAAGGCCACAGAGCAAACCACTGCCCTCAAAACTGGAGAGAGAGAACAGCAGAAACAGAGAAATCACAACTTACTGGAGCAGAAACCCATGAGCAGAGACCTACTGGGGAACCAATACTAGGGGAGAAAAACTTAAACAAATTTCTGGAAGGCCAGCCCTACACTTACTTGGGTTTTATCTTTAGGGGATCTACCAGATCCTCACATTGAATATTGGAGAAAAATCTCCTTGTGTTTCTAGAAGAGAGAGGAGGAAAAGGAACTGTTTTTGAAACATGCCAGAGCATTCTATTCTTCTTAACAAGGCTGCTGTTAGGAAAATCTATTTTGCCAAAGCCTAATCAGCTGAGGTTACCAGAACCTATATTACCGGGGCGAAGGGAAACACCCAGCTCCAGTTTCTGTAGCCTTCACTATGGGGGAAGAGAAATACATAATTCCAGTTCACTTCAGCCATTTTGTCTCACCTAAGGCAGGAGAAATTGAGAAGCAACAATAAAGTTCACAGTCCAGGGACACAGGTTCACAGAAAGACTGAGACCCAATCATAGGGCTATGCAATGTTTCTTCCATCACACCTTAGCACTACATTATAAAAGACCTACTTACCACAGTTCCTTTTAGCTGGTGTTTAATGTCTGTCTTTAAACAAAAATTACAAGGCACACAAAAAAGGAAAAGATAAACAGTTGAATACATGATCAGGTATCATAATCAGACTCAGATATGTCAGGAATGTTGGAATTATAAGAGCAGGATTTTTTAAAAATTAAGATTAATATGTTAAGTGTATTAATGAAAAAAAGTAGTCATCATACGAGAACAGATAGATAATTCAAGCAGAGAGATGGAAATTCTGAGAAAGGACAAAAAAGAAATGCTAGAGATAAAAACACTGTAACAGAAATAAAGAATGCTTTGATGTGCTCATTAGCAGAATGAACATGGCTGAAGAAAGAACCTCTGAACTGGATAATATGACCATAGAAACTTCCAAATTAAAAAGCAAACAGAAAAAGACTGAAAAAAGAAAAAACAAAATATTCAAGAACTGTGGAGCCACTATAAAAGATGGGAGAGGATAAAACTTTGAACATCACAAGGAAAACAGTTTTATAAAGGCTTTCTCCATTCAACAATATGAATTGGGTTTTAAATATAAAGCTACTAAATAAGTCATTGTATATAAATTCCTTATCTTAATCTTTTTTAGAAATATGATTTTTAACAAAAACAAAAATTATTTTTTAAAATATTTTTAACAAGTAGTAGAAAAAGAAAAATGGTTTAGGTAAAAAATCCTGTTATCTACATAAAGAGAAGAAGAATATCAGAGCATAAGTGAAGGTCAAATATAAACTTTCATTTTTCTTATTTATAATTTATCTAGCATAGTTTATTATAAGCTATAGCAACAATGTATTCATGTATGCATACTTCTGCATGTGTGTATATGTGCATACATTATATATATATATGCTTATGTATAAGTGAAATGAATGACAATAATGATAAACAGGATGGGTGAAGAATTAGAAATATTTTGTTATTATAAGGTATTTGTACTCCACATGAAATGGTATAGAGTTTTTTTTTTGTTTGTTTATTTTTTTTGGGGGGAGGGGATGGAGTCTCCCTCTGTCGCCCAGGTTGGAGTGCAGTGGCGCAACCTCAGCTCACTGCAAGCTCCGCCTCCTGGGTTCATACCATGCTCCCACCTCAGCCTCTCTAGTAGCTGGGACTACTGGCGCCTTCCACACGCCTGGCTAATTTTTTGTATTTTTAGTAGAGACAGGGTTTCACCATTCACAGGATGGTCTCGATCTCCTGACCTTGTGATCCGCCGCCCTCGGCCTCCCAAAGTGCTGGGATTACAGGCGCGAGCCACTGCACCTGGCTGGTATAGTGCTTTTTGACAGTGGCTTCATTTTGTTGTAAATTATATAGTAAATTCGAAGGCAACTACTAAAAAGGAAAAAAGAAATTAAAAAAGAAGTATAATGTTATGCTAAAAAATGAGAGAAAATGAAATCATAAATGATAAATTAAATCAGAAGAGACAAAAAATTGTAAAAGACAAAAATGAAAACCAACAAGGGCAATAAATAGAACACTGTAAAAAATATTGTCGACATTATTCAATAATTACATTAAACATCTGTTGGGGTCCGCGTGTTTCCTAAACAAAGGAATGAACACACAAGACAAGACAAGACAAGACAAACATGGCGGCCACCTGGAATGGCGCACTTGGCTTTATTTTATACAGTCGTTTGTGGAATGTTGCCAAGTCACAAGACACATTGTTGTTTTTCTGACCTTTCTCTGACTTCGTTTGCAAGAGCAGGACTTATGGGGAACGCCCTGCTTCATTTGCAAGAGCAGGACTTATAGGGAACGCCCTGCTTCGTTTGCAAGAGCAGGACTTATGGGGAACGCCCTGCTTCGTTTGCCAGAGCAGGACTTATCGGGAACACCCTGTTTGTGAGCACATAGTCCTCTACAAACATCATTGTTCTAAATACAATTAGGAGATAGAGATTGTCAGAGTGGATCAAAAAACAAGACTCAACTGTATGTTGTCTGTAAGAAATCCATCTTAAATATGAAAACACTTATAGGTTAAAAAGTGAAGGAATGGAGAAAGATATAGCACGCTAACACTTATCCAAAATCAGTGAGAGTAACTATACTAATTCCAGGGAGAGAAGGCTTCAGAGCAAGGATAGTTATCAGGGATAATAAGGGGAATATATAATAATAAAAGAGCTAATACTTCATCAAGACATAGCAATCCTTAACATGTATGTCCTTAGAGAACACCAATGCATGTTAAGCAAAATACAAGAGTGCTGCAGATTCTGCACACGTATCCCTGAACTTGAAGTATAAACAAACACACACACACACACACACACACCAAAAAATAAAAAATAAATAAATAAATTATATGATCACATTAACAGTTGAAGAAAAAACATTTGACAAAATCCAGCACCTTTTCGTGATAGATTTTGTTTTGTTTTCAGAACAAATAGAGGAGGACCTACCCAATTTGATTTTAGAAGAAAATCTACAGCTAACATCATACAGTCATGTGTCACATTATGACAGATACACATTCTGAGAAATGTGTCATTAGGCAATTTTGTTGTTGTATGCATATCATAGAGTGTACTTATGCAAACCTAGATGGTGTAGCCTGCTACACACCTAGACTAAAAGTTATAGCCTATTGCTTCTAGGTGGCAAGCTTGTTTTGAATATTACTATACTGAAT